GGTACTGCCATAAGCCAGACAAGAACTGATGATGGCTTGGAGCAGGGTGGTAGCAGTAGATAGGTAGATAGGGTAGGCGGTGGATGGATTGGACTGGAGAGGTGTCTGGAGGGAAGGCCAGCAGGACCTGCTGATGAGAGGCAAGGGTGATGCTCCCAGGTTAAACCAGCCCTGTTTTTTGGCCACCTCCTCTCAGCCCTGGGGTTGAGTGGGGGGTAGGGAGTAGGGAGACATGATGACATGAAAATTTTCCCTAGCCCCAGGTAAAGCTCTGGACTCAGAATCCTTCTGTCCTTCCCCTAGGTCATCAGGCCACAGCACTCTCTGCTTTTCCTCCTGCCTACCTCGTGGGCCACACAGTTTCAGTCTTCTTTGCCAGTTCTCCCTCTTCACCTGACCTCTAAATGTTTGGAGCACGTGGAGGCTTGGCTGGCTCCTCTCCTCCATCTCTGCTCACTCCCTAAGGAATCCATCCTGTCTCCTGGCTTCGAAAATCATCTGTGTGCTGAACACTCCTGGATTGCTATCTTCACACTAGGCTTCTCCCCTGAATTCCAGACTTACACACAACTGCCTACTCATCTCCTCTTGAATATGTATGTGGTCATCTCATATGTAACATGTGCAAAACCAAACTCCTACCCTTCCCCTCTAAATCTGCCCATCCCGGAATCTCCCCCATCTCAGTGAATGACGCCTCCATCTTTTTTGTTGCTCAAGCCAGAAACCATGGAAACTCCTAGACTCCTTTCTTTCTACACAAGCCACATCCAAATCCATCAGCAAATCCTGTCATCTCTACTTGCAAAAAATGTCCAAAACCCCACTCTCTCCTCACCATCTTCCATTCACTATCTCTCACCTGATTATTGCGGTTACTTCATAACTGCTCTCCCTTGCCCTGCTACCTTGTAGTCGCAACACAGCAGCCAAAGCAACCTTAGGAAGACTTAATTCAGATCATGTCACTCTACTGCTGAAAACCCTCAGCGAAATTAGCTCTGCGTGGTGGCCCATGCCTGTAATCCCAGCTACTTGGGAGGCTGAGGCAGGAGAATCGCATGAACCCAGGAGGCAGAGGTTGCAGTGAGCTGAGATCACACCATTGCACTCCAGCCTGGGTGACAGAGGGAGACTCTGTTTAAAAAAAAAAAAAAAAAAAAAAAAACCCTCAGTGGTTTGCTGTCCGAGTCCAAACTGAAGTCTTTTCGACGGTCCCACATGATCTGCCCTTCGCCAGGTCTCTGCACCCCTTCTGTCTCTGTGACTTCACCTCAGTTTCTGTCATTCTCTACTACCCCCAACTCCCAACTGCACACCCCCAAGACCCTCCCTTAGCTGTGCTGCAGCCGTGGTGGCTTGCTTCCTGTCCCCCTAATGCAGTGTGCCTTTGCAGTGGCTGCGCCCTCCCCCTGGATCGTCCTCCCCCAGGTATAGGAATGCCTTACCCTGATGGAGTGTGCTCAGACCCAAAGTTATCCACAGGCCTTCCTGACAACCTTGCTTAAAATTGCCACCACCTTTCACACTCATCCTCTTCTCTGGAATATTGAGATGACTGAATGTCAGAGGCTGGAAACAGGGAAGAATCCAAGAAGGTGGTTTTTGAATCTGGGTTGGTCTCTGTGGTGGTTGTCACTGTCTGATGTGTCCTCCCCCACTAGAATATGGGCTCCAGAGTAACAGGCATTTTTGTCTCTCATTTTCTGTTCTGTCCCCTCACCCAGAACAGAGCCTGGCACATGCTAGGCACTCAGTCAAGATTTACTGAATGAATGAATGGAATTAGGGAAAGACCTGCAGCCCTCAGGAGGCAGCTTGGATCTGGGAGGGAGACCTGATTTCTAGGACAGCACCAGCTTTGACCCCAGCCATGGGTCATCTGGGCTGCAGTTGTCATCTGTGGAGGGTGGGAAACTCCCGAGGCCCTTTGTAGCAGCAACATTCTAGAATGATGCTTGACTCTGGCCTCACCTGCTTCCTTTTGGCTGAGGGAGGAAGGGAGGGGTAGAGGTAGGACCTGGTGCTGTGGAAAGAGAGAGCTCTTGCTCATTCTTTCTAGTCAAGACCCAAGTGGACTTTTTACTGGCCTTGAAAGGAAAGGCATTTCTGGTTCGTACCTGGCAGGAGTCTGGGAGCCCTGGGTGAGGGAGGAATGAGCCAGGGGGTGCAGCCCCAGCTGCTGAGTGGGGACAAATAGAGGCCTCGCCACTGGGCCTGGGTTCCTCCTCATGGAGACCGTCCTTCTGGGGTGTTATGGGGAGGGAGAAGGAGGATAATTGAGGTGAGTAGTGGGGAGAGGGAAGGCTGGAAAGGGCCTAGTGTGTGGATCAGCTGGGCTCACACGCAGGCCCTCAGTGGGTGTGCGTGGTCAAGCCTTGAAGCAGCCCTCAGCCTGCCCCTGGGCCCTCGCAGCCAGCACCAACTCCGGACTGAGTGGCAGGGGGCCTTTTGGTTGAGAGAAGCCCAGTCCTCCTCCCTTTTCTGGGCCTTGCAACAGTTCCCTGCTTGTTTTCCCCGAAATAAATGGGCTGAGCATATTGGGCCGGCAATAACCCCTTGAAATCAGTTGTTATCACAGTTAACAACCAGTTTGGCTTCAGTTCAGGCTGTTAACTATCAAACCACTAAGTGCCGGTAATGATTGATTCTTGGCCAGTTGCAGCTTGAGTGGGCTGTAAAACCCCATTAGTGAGGGCTCTGTGGAGGCAGCGGCTCAAAGATAAACAAGTTGATGGGTGCTCTAGCCTGGCCTAGCCCCAGTGCTCTGGGCGCAGCTCCCATGGGTCCCTGGCCTGGAGTCCTACCGGGAGTCAACCTCTTCCCAAAGCCACAGACAACCTCAAGGACCAGGTCCCAGGTCCCACCCTCCTGTCCCCCTCCACATCCCCTTTCCCCATCCAGGTGTCTCTTTCTAGAAGTCAGGTCTGGCTCTCTGCAAAGCTCCCCTCTTCTTCCATGATGTAAACATGGCACAATCCCATTGTCACCACCCTGGAGGACTCAGGCCTCCCCAGCCTGGGGGCTTGAGGATTAGCTTTGGCCAGGGCCAGCCTTGGCCCAGCCTGGCCCCACGTTGTGGCCAGGATCACAGGCGGAGAGCCTAACATTCCACCCCCACCAGACTCCCTCCTACCCAGTGCCTTCCCCCAGGAATTGCTCTCAAACAAATGAAATGCGGGTAATTACTGGGCTAGGGGCTGGACAGGAGACCGTGCAGATGAAAGCGTTTCCTGGACGGTCCCTTCATTTGCATGGCATCAGAAGCTGCTCAGAAGGTGTGACTTTTCCCACAGTGAGACCCCAGCTCCTTGCACAATAAAGCCAGGCTGCTCACCCAGAATTAATTAAAGGGGGAAGGGAGCAGAGGAGGAGGCGCTAAGAGTGGGGGGAACTGGAAGAGAGACATCTAGGGCCCCTTCGCCACATCCAGTGTCTTCGCACCAGCAGAAACCCACTATCTCCAGAGTCCCTCACCCGCTGTGGCAGGCCACAAGAGGTGGGTGAACAGGCCAGCCTCTCTACTGCCAGGCTTCCCGCTAAGCCTCGAAATTCCTGATCTGCCGGGGTGGGCTAAGCCTGGGACTTGGGCCTGAAACTCTGGGAGGAAGACTTGGGTTGCTCCCTACCCCAGGAGATGCCAATGGACAGAGCCCTAGAGGAGCGAGGTTTCTAGACTGGCTCAGTAGCTGGGCTGTGGGACCAGCCCAGGGCATCAACAAGGAAGGCAGCAGGAGCAGCCCCAATGGGAGGCCTCAATGATGAAGGCTGGGCCAGCTCTGCGCTCAGGAAACTGCTGTGGGGCCTGGGTTCTTCCTCCGTGTCGCGGGACACCGGTCTCACCAATCCACACGCAAACACCCACCTGCACCCTTGCCCATTCCCTTCTCTGCCCATACCATGACCTGCTCCTCCACTCCCACAGCAGCCCTCTCTCCCTCCACACACGGCCTCCTGCTTCTCCCCAAGGCCATGACTGCCTTTAGTTCTGCTCTGGGCCTATGAGCTTCCCTTCTGGTGCCATCCGGTGCCCAGCTCCTCTCCCGCCAGGCCCATCCTCCGACGCAGGAAGCCTCTTCCTGGAAGACAGTTCCCCAGGCTCCTTGCAGCACTGGAGCTCAGTGCTTTCTGCCCACAGCTATCTCACCAGATCACCCAAAGTTAACACTTGTCCCACATGACAATTGTCAACACCAGTCTTGGTGGTCCCCCTCCAATGTGCCCCCACCTTGGACCCTGGCAGTTGCTCTTCTCTTTTATTTTCTGCAGCCTGAGTCTCAGAAAGACCAAGTTCTGGAATCTCCAATCGGTCTCCCACATGGACCTAGGCACTCAGAGAGGCGTTTTTTAAGATGATTAAATCTATGATTACAGCTCTGGTCCTAGCACATCCATTATTTCCGGCCCTGAGGTGGCCTGGGGAAGTGTTAGCAATGGCCCCTGTGAAGTGCAAGGAGGTACACATCTGAGAGCTCCAAGGACTAGCTAAGAGCCTCTTCTTGCCCCTCTCTCTGCTTCTGTCCTTTCAGGAAAACCCCTCAAGTGACAGTGATGGGGATGGTTGACAGGCAGGGGTCCTTAGGCTGGAGGGAGGCTGCGGTCAGAGCTGGTGCCTGGTCATTTGCATCTCCCAGCTGCCCACCAGCTGGGGCAAGGTTGGGGGAAGGGGCTGACCTGGGCAGGACTCACTCTCCAGCACATATTTTTAATATGCAAGTTAAATAAATATTTCAATCATTTAATAGCCAACAGTCTGATACCCACTTCTAAGAGGACTGGCCTGTGTCACAGTCCTTTCCTCCCTGCCCCACCTGGGGGTGCAGTGGAGTTCCTGGCTGCCCGGCCAGCGGGCCCTGCAGGTATTGGGGCCTCAGCAGCACAGACCAGAGAAAGCCCCCCACCCCTGCAGACCCCCAGCCGGAATCCCAGTCTAGGCCACTAATGGGGCTTTCTGAGAGTTAAGAAGACAGACACCACAGCCAAGTGGAATACAAAAATAGAGCCTCTCTTTTGTTAAAAAAAAAAAAAAAAAAAAACAGCAAAAACCCAACAGCAAACAGTATCAACAACCGGAACCCAGGGCTCCCCCAGCACCTCCCCAGCCTGCAGCAGCGCAGAGGTCATCTTGCTTGAGTTTTGGGCGCCCTACAGGATGAGCCTGTCTGTGGTCTGGCATTGTGGGGAGGGCCAGGTAGCACCTATCGGGGCTCAGGGGCCCAAGTCCTCTGGCTGCCGCGCAGGCTGCGCGTGAAGGGCGGGTAGTTGAGGAACTCGAAGCGCAGGCTCTGCTCGGTGGTGTGGTGGCCCCGGGGCAGCCGCTTCATGAAGTGGACCTCGCGCTGGTGCTGCCGCGTCTTGGAGCCCTTGCGGGGCCGGCCCTTGCGAGTGAAGGCCATGTACCATCCCTCGTACTTGGCATTCTGCAGCGCTGTGTAGTTATTCTCCAGCACAATCTCTGTGAAGACGCAGTCCTTGCCTTTGCCGTTGCTCTGCAGGTAGGGGGGCCAGACACCATGTTACAGAGCCCCCCCAGCAGAGGCAGAGGGTGAGCGGCCCCAGACAGCAGGTGGGCACCCCAGCAGATGGCGAGGTGGGCAGGAGCTGCAGCCCCACCCCCTGCCTGGGCACCCGCTCTCTAATCCCTCACAACCCGCAGCCCACCCGGCAACTTCCTGTCCTCCCAGGCAGCAGTGACACATGGCTGTCTACAGAGGGGCTGGGCCCCAATGCAGAGAGGCAGAGAGAGGGGCCCAGAGCCTGCCTGCTCTGGCCTCCTGCCCGCCAGTCTGGCCACCCATCTCCCCACCTGCCCCTCTCACCCCCTCAGGACTTCGGCTCCCTGGCCCCAGGGCAGCCACCCTATGGGGGAGGGGAGGCCTGGGAGGAGACACTGAGACCCCAGCCCCAGAAGCCTAGGAAGCGGGGAGCTTGAGGCTGGAGAGGAGCCGTGACTAATGGAACCATTGCAGAGCTCGGCCGAGGGGCTGGGCCTGCGGCTTACTGAACATTCCAAATGCTGGTACCATGTAATTGGACATAATAGCAAAGCAATTTGGCGATTTGTTAAAAAGATATATGGAATTTACCAACCCCCCCCAGCCCCTTCCCTAGCCTTCATTCTTCCTCCTTTGCCTTTTATAGTTTTCATCTCTCAAACAGCTTCCTTCTCCCTCACCCCTGCACCCAATCATGAGGTAACCCCAAGACGGCCCTGTGGCCCTCTGCCTACCTTGTTAGGATCAGAGCACAGGACCGTCCTGGAGGAGTCCAGCCAGCCCAAGCCACTCCCCAGGTCCTGCGGACCCCGCCTGCCTGCTGGAGCCTCACCTTGGCGATCAGCTTCCCCTTCTTGTTCATGCAGATGTAGAGGCCCGTCTCGGCTCCTCGGACTCGAACTCTGCTTCCAAAGGTGTCCGTCTCCACGATGAGCTTTGCTGTCAGAGAAGGTAGGAGGATGGTTATTGGCAGATCCCTGACCCCAGCTGGCCCACACACTTGTCACAGCCCAGCAGCAACTGCTCCAAAGACCAGGAACCCAAAACATGGACTCCAGCTCCAGCACAGCTGCTAACATGCTATATAACCCAGAGAAAGGGCAAGGTGCTTTTCTGGACCTCAGGCCCCAGCCCTGGGTTTAAAGAGAGCAGTGGACGGGATTATGGTTTTCAAACTGGGTTCTCAAGAGAGGTCTTGGGAACATCAAATTGAAAAGGCTGAAGTGCCATTCCTTCCACCCTCTTTTTAAATCTCTTAGATTGAGGCTCTAAGTAAAATTTAATTGAATCAGAGTTCCATGGCTAATCAAAAGATCTCCGAGGATCCTTCCAACTCCGAATATCATGTGCACGTGCCTCACAGGTCATTACAAACATTTGGGTGCAGTGGTGACCTCCAGTCCCGAGGCCAAAGATAAAAGCATTGTCTCCTGTTTCTGCCACTTTGGGTTCTTACTCACAACTTTCGCCACCCCCAACATCACCAGGCTCTGCTCTGCTGAGAAGGTGCTAGGGATGGGGACAGCTCTCCCTAAACACATAGCCCAGAGCAGGCTGCTTTCCCAGAACCTCAGACACCTGCCATGAGGATCCTGCCTCTTCCCTGTGGTTTCCCAGTCACCAGGGCCCCCACCCCCAGTGTCTAGAAATCAACTCAATCGCCTTTTCTCTTTCAGCCTCATCACAGCTGGGCTTCTCAGCCCAGTGACCAAATATCTTCTGTGGGTGAGGAGGAGGGAGAATCATGCCCGCTGGCCTCTTAGTCTGGAGGCCAGGAGGCAGGGCTGAATTCTATGCCTCCTTCCCCACTACCCTCCCCTTAGACAGCCAAGTTGCCACAGGAGCCTGTCCCGTTCACCTCTCTATGCAGTCCTCTCTTATAGGCTGTCCCCAAGGAAGTAGTGAGGCTGACTTCACTGTTTGGGAAGGGACAGAAGGTGCTGGCTCTCCTGCCCTCCCTGCCACAGAGCCCAGCCTCTCTACTCCTTGAGAAAGCCAATTGTTGGACTTAGCCTGCATTGACACATGGCACCTCCTCTGTCCCTGAAACCCATGGCAGGGGTTGGGGGCACTGAGGTCAGCAAGTCAGTCATCACTGCTCAGCCTGTAACGTCCCCCTCTTTACACAGGTGCAGTGCTGGGACCCAGTGGCCAAGCCCCCAGTTTGGCCCCAAGTCAGCAGGGAAATGCAGCTGTCACCTCCCTGCCCGCCCACCTCCTCCTGGACCTAGCCAGTCTGCTCATCCCTTTCCTGCTCTGCCTTCCACAGCAAGAGGCAGCTGTTTTTAAGGGCCAGGAAGGATGCTGACTAGATGAGTGAGAGGATGCCACTCTGCGGACTCTGGCCAGATGCAGCAGGCAGGGATGAAGTAGGTGCCTCTGCATCTTCCTGGGGCCGATAAAGAAGCCATTGAGACCTCTCTGCTATTCTCCCCAGACTCCTCCAGTCCTGGCTGAATACCCTGAGCCTCTGTTCTTAGGCCCCCAGCTCCTATCCTGCTGTGGGGCAGGGACTAGGGAAGGTGGGAAACCTCTTAGATGGCCAAGGAGAGAAGTGGGCATCAGACTTCCTCTGATGTCTGAAGATGAATTCCCCCACATCAGCTTGGCTTCTGCTTTCTCCCCAAAATCCAAGGATGCTGGGCCATTTGCTCTGATAGAGCAAACTCTGGAAGAGCCAGGCCTTCGTCTCCTCTCCTTAGAAGCTGAGAAGGGCAGCAAGCAGCCAATTTGGAGGGACAAAGGGACGGTAGGCCTGCTCTGCCAGCCCAGCAGGGGGGCTCGGCCACCAGGCAGGCTGCCCCCACCCCCACCCCAGAGAGCCCCCTCTCTCCCAGGTCGGTTGAATCTGCTCGGATCTGGAGAGCTGGGGCTGCAGTTTACGGCAGCTCCACCGACCGGGCTTTTGGAAAGCTTAACATTTTCAAACCTATTCTTCCACCCCAGTGACAGATTTATCCCAGGAAAATTATGTCTCCTCCTCCAGCTTTGAAGGGAAGTCAGCTACGTCGATGCAGAAAAAATGCAGCGAGACATACTCGATCCCCCAAACTGGCTCAAGAAGAGGAGAAAGTATTCAGGAAATGTTAAAAAAGGTGAAAGTAAGAAGAGTTTTAATCGCTCTGCCAGACGCGGGGGTCTCTCCAGAGATTCAGAGAGAACAATCTTGAACCTCTTTTTTAACATTTACAGACTTGCAACTCCTTTCAAACTCCACATCTGAAAAAAAGCTCGTTCTTTTTCTGTTTTATATCATTCTTCATTTTTCTTCTTAGCTCTTAAAATGCCTCACCTTTTTATTACATTTTAATAGAGTCTTCCCCTCTCCTTTCATGCTTGTTTAACGTGGTCATTATTTAAAGGTTTTTAAACTCACAATAATCGCTCTCTAAAAACAACACCAGCCGCCCAGAGGGTTTGCTTTTCTCTTGGTACAGGACTCTGGAAATTGGCCCCGTTTCAAGGCAGGAATATTGAATGTTTTAGAAATCAATCAGTCCTCAGCTTCTCTGCCGGCAGTAGCTCTCCGTACTGGCCACCCCACAGGGAGCCGGGAGTCCTGCCCCAGCCGCCTGGGTTCCCTGGGGAGTGAAGCAGGGAGAGCCCCTTCCAAGCCCAGTTTCCACCTGTAATTGACCCTTCTGATCAAAGTATTTAAAGGTTCCCAGCAAACCCCTTTTCCAACTGGGAGAGTTGAGGGGATTTCTCTCCCTTCTCTTTCCCACTCTCCTTTTGTGGGCCCTGGCGACATATCCTCTTTCAAGCGCTTCCCTTAAACCTAGGCCCCCTCCCCCTGAACCCCCTGCCTCCACCTGCAGCTGGGGAGGGGTGTATGAGGTGGGGGCGTGTAAAGGGAGATTCCTAGATTCTTTCATTTGCTGGGCAGGGAAGGGGGCACCTGTGGCCAAGTATTCCCCGAGGTCCCTTCCCTAGCCCTCTCTTCCCCAGCTGACCCTCAAGACACCTTTCTGCCTTAACTCCTTCCCTTCTGAGCTGGGGACCCTGCAGGCCCCCTGTCAGTGCAGTTGGGACTGGCGGTGCAGGCGCCGCTCATCCCACAAGCTACCTTCAGCGCGCCTTACCGAAGGGGTCGCCGTCCTCTGCCATGGCGTTGATGCGCTTGTTGGCCAGGACCTGCACGTGCTTCCCGCTGGTGCGGCTGTAGAGCTGGTAGGTCCGGATGAGGCGGCGGCTGAGCTGATCCGTCACCAGGCTCTGCTCCCTCACATGCTGTGTAAAATTAGGTGAGGACTGAACAGTTACCTTTAGGAAATTGAAAAATACACAATACGCCATTATAATGCTACTCCGCCCAGGGGCCCGAGTGGCCCCATCACCCTGCGTCCCCCTCACTGCCCGAAGCCACCAGCAGGTGCTGGGGTTTCCCCCAACATGCCAGCCCAGGCCACCATCCCCCACCCAGGCAAATCGGGCAGACCCAGCCCAGGATAAACAAGCCCCAGGGAAAAGCTGGACCCACCTGTTGGGAGACACCCTGGGGCTCCCGGCCAGCCCGGAACAGGGAAGCGAGCTCCCTGCCCAGCGCAGGGCCCCCGCCCGGGCCTTCCTAGAGGAGCAGGGCGCTTTTAAGTAGGGAGACAGCGCTCCCCGACCCCTGACATTTATAAAGACAAATTTACGGAGCAAATGTTGAGAGTGCAGGGGACCTGGGCACCCGATCGTTGGGCCAAACCGGCCACAAGCCTCCCCCGAGGGGCGTGGAGAGGATCTCTGCTGTAGTCACCCGGCTTCCCCTGGCATCGAACATCCATCTCCTGGCCCCGGCTGCCCCCTTCCTCGGCGGCTGAGTGTTCCCTGTGCCCCCAGCCGGCGAGGATACATGGGGGACAGTGCTGGGCTCCGAGACCTTCGCTTCTATCCTGGCAACTCACTCGCTGTGTGACCTCTGGCGGGGTGCTACCTCTCTGTGCCTCAGCTTCCTCCTCAGGCTGGCTCGGGGCTGGGTTTCTAAAGTGCCCTCAGCCCTCCGGCGCCGGCCGCAGAGTCAGTCCCAGTGCCCCCGACCGGCGCTGCCCACCCGGGTCTCCAGCCGGCCCGCCCGGCCCCCTTCTCCGCGCATCCCTCCTCACCTGGGCTTGGAGGCAGAGGACCAGCAAGTGCAACAGCCTGTGGGAGACAAAAGCGGGCGGGAGAGAGAGGCGCGGGTGAGGCGAGGGGCGCGGCGGGCGGGCGGCGGGGCAGGGCGGCGCGGTACTCACAGGCAGCTCAGCGCGGAGCGGGGGCTGCCCATGGCGCGCGGCCCCGGGGCACCAAAAGCCCGGCGGGTCACGCCGTCCCGTGGGCGGCCGCGGGGGGACGCACGGAGCAGGGCGCGGGCGGAGAGGGTGCGGGTGCGGGAGGCCGGCGGCGACCACGACGCGGCTCCGCGGGTCCCGTGGAATGTCGTGCTCGCCAAGCCGCACCGAGTCGCTGTGCGCCGCTGCCGGAGCCGGTGGCCGCTGGCTGCTCCGGTGCCGGAGCGGGCGGGAGGGTCACGGGCTGGCGGGGTGGGTGGGGAGGTGGGAGGGGTGGGGGCGGGGGGCGCCGCACCGGGCGCGAGGGGGGAGCGCGGGGCGGGCGGCGGGAGCCCGCAGCCCCCGGCTGGGAACTGGGGCCTGGATGCAGCCCGGGGCGGGGGCGGGGCGGCCGGGGCGGGGCGGCCGACGGGTCCGGGATTGGGGGTCTAGGCTAGGGGAGGGGTCTGGGGACCCGCGGTAGGGGCGGGGGCGGCCGGTCTGGGCGCCTCCCCCTATCCGCAGCCTGTGCCCTCGCGCGCTCTCCGGGCCCGGGCGCGCGGGGATGGGGGCGCCTGGGGCTGCGGGCTCTGCGGGCCAGGAGACCCCGGGCCAGGGATTCCCTGACCGCCCGGCGCGCCCCAGTCCGGTGGGGCTGGGTCTCCACCTCGGGGCCCAGCAGCTCCTGCCGCCGGCTACATAGCAGTCTCCGAGCCACCTACTGTGTGTCCCGCCAGGACTGCCCCCTGGGAGCGGCCGCTAACCGTGCGGCGAATGGCTGCGCACCCGGCCCTAGCGCAGTGCGTGCCGGTGCCACCCGGACCCCACTCCCCTGTTTCTGCCGCGTGCCCCGTCCTTTTGGTCTCTCCAGTCTCGTTCAGTCTCCCAAGGAGGCCCTGGGAACCAGAAATGCCTCCCCCTCCCCCGCATTATCACCGTCACCCCTTCCCCTGTGCCCCTCGCCACACACACACACTAGCCTGAAGCTTGAGGAGCACCCCGAACCACCTGTGTGGAAGAGAGAGTCCGGAGGTCCCTGGCAGGACCCACTGTCCCCCTACCCCAGCAGGCAGCAGGGGCAAAAATAACTGTTCTCAGTAGCTTTTCCTGGGGGAAGGGACTTCCATCCAGGCCACCCAGCCCTTTCCCCCTCAAAGCCCCATTTGTTTTTCATTTCACAGATATTTACACACCTACTGCATTCTAGGCAGGGGCTGGTCAGCTGGGCCTGGGGCATGGGAGAAGGTAGGCACTTGTCTAAGCCTTTCCTAGCCCCTCACCTTGTGGCTTCCCCACTGAGATTTTGGGAAACCCTGAGCCCCCACGCTGCTTCTGTGGGAGCAGCCTGGGTGGGCAGAGATGACCTGGGACAGGTGCCCTGTGAGGAGCAGGTGATGCCCTACCAGGCTGCTGCCTTCGCCCACAACTTCCCTTCCCCACTGACCCTGCATTCCCCTGGGGGTAGGGCTGGAGGGTTTCGTGTGGTCCCAGGAAGCCATTAGGCCAAAATTAGCAGCAGCCCTAGTCCAGCCTCACAGCCAGGCCCTGCCTCCCTCCCTCCTCTGTGTCCCACCTTTCCCTGTGCCCCATCTTTCCAACTACCAGCCATAAATGCAAACACTGAGCAATGGAGAGACGGGAAAACAGAGGGTGTGTTCCAAGATTTTATCTCTCCTCAGAGAAGTAGACTTCCAGAGCACACCTGCCATCTTCCTCCAGGAGTCTGTTCACTGGGCTCTTGCCCACACAGACCTTGTGGCAAGGACCATGTCTTAAGAGCTCAGAGATCACAGTTCAAGGCACAAAGCTGGGCAGAGCTGTTCTGCAGTTAAAAGTTCATTGAATGAAAGAATGAATGATGGGGAAAGTGGCTGAGTCTTCAGACTTCAGCCTATTTGCAACTTCCCCAGGAAGACCTGCCTTCACCCCCTCCCAACAGATGATCACCAGCAACACCACCAGTAAGTGAGCACTTGTATCTGCTACAGGCTTGGCAGGCACTGTCTCCTCTAAAGCCCATGGGGAGGTGGGCTCATCAGGCGGAGACAAGTCAGGTGGACACAAGTGGCCACAGCCCAGGCCAGCCCTTGCCTCCCCTGTGCTCTGTGTTAAGGCCTGAGTCACAATTTGTTGAGTGGGTCTCTTTCCCTCTCTGCACTGCTTCAAGCGGGCAAGGGTGATGTCTGTTTGCTTGTGGTCTTACCCTCATCCCTGTACATAGCAGGCCCTCAGGCTGTTTAGTTGTGTATATTGATGAACAAATGATTGAATGGAGAGATGGGGACAGGGGACAGGCACTTCCTGTAAGAAACGGGCTTTCTCCCACCATGGACTCTCTGAACTTCAGTGAGATGAGCAGAGCAGGGAGTAGGCCCCAGGCAGGGGTGAGGGTGATCCACCCATCCAACAGTGTTTGCATGGTCCTGGGGTCACAGCCAGAGTAACTCTGGGTACCTGCCCCTCCCTGGAACGGGGGTAGGGGCAGAGCCCCTGGCTGAGACCAGCATTCAGCTCCCGCTGTGGAACCCCCAGAAGATTCTGAGGCCCTGGGCTGACCCTCAATGGTCTTCAGCCACCCTTCTTCCTCTGCCCCAGAGAAAGAAGATGGGCGTCCTGGGATCTGAAGGGTCTGAGGTCAAGTTTCAGTCCTGTCCCAGCCTCTGCCAGGGAGTCTGTACTGGACCAGGATTCCTTTACATTTGGATTTGGGGACCCTCCTGAGAAGTGGACCCTCACCTAGTTCGTTGAAATTCTCATCTCCCCAAAAGTCCCTTTCTCTGGGGGAGAGAAGCAGATGGAGGCACCCCATGAGCAAGCACCTGGCTCTGCCCCGGCACGCCCCATGACTGACAGATGCAAATATCCCGCCGGGCCCCCGCAGGCCGCTCCCTCCCTCGCTGGCTCACCCGCCTCCCGGCCAGCTCCCTCCCTCCTTTATCTTATCAAAGCCGGGTAATTACAATTGCTATTTTGTTTCCTCGAATCTGCAATCAGAGCTCCCTGGCCCAGATGAGGGAGCGCCTGTCAACCTGATCGCTGAGTGACAGCCCAGCCACCTTTCCCGGCCGCCCCCACACTCCGCAAACACAAACACACACACGCACAGACACAAACTCCCTCACCTGCAAACACAAACACACACTCCTCGGCAACACACGGCCCGTCTCCGCAGACACGCCCTCGCCGGCACCCAGACACACTCCTTCAGCCTATTTCCAAACGCACCCCTCGATCCCAGCCCAGCCCCTGGCCCCTCCAATCCACACCCGCCGGAGACCGCAGCTTGCTCCGACGCGCGCTTCCTGCGCCGGGCGTTCAAAGCGCCGCGGACTCACCGCCGACCGTTCAAATGCAAATCGCCGAGACTACGTTAAGCACTTCGGCCGCTGTCTGGGAGTCGTCTCCCTCGGCCCCCAAATAGGAGCCTGCCCTTCCTCCAGCAGTCGGCAAACCCCGGCGTATGCCTTCATCCCCCAGGGCTGTGAGGTCACAGTGAGCCGGCAGCGCTCCTACTGTGCGCTGAAGGGCAGAGAAGAGGGCTCGAGGAGAGGCGGGGGCGTGGAGAGAGGAATAAACCATGCCCAGCTGTGTCCGCAGGGCGCCCCAACCGGCCAAGATGCTCCTGGGCCGAGAGGCTGATGTGGATTGGGCCCCCACTGCGGGCAGGAGCGTGCTCGGCGCTGGCCCGCTCCCACCGGGAGACCGACCCAGAAAACCGGGAAGAATGCACGGAGCGATCAGTGCCATCGCGGGGGGTGGGTGGGATAAATATTGGGGCGGCGCCGCGCAGGGTGTAGATGGGTCAGCTAGGGAGGCCTCCCCGGAGAGAGGACTCTGCGAGGCACTCAGCCAGTCTCCCGCTCCTCCTGCCACGCACGTGCCGAGGCCTTTGGAGGCTGGGGCCAAAAGGAGGAAGGAAGGGAAAGAGGAGTGAGGGCCGCAGCCCGACTTCCCCGCTCCAACTCGAGTCGTTTGAATGAATGAATGAACGTATGCACGCATGCAAGCAAGCCTCAATGGCATTCCCCCGGCTTCTGCCCAAGATTCGGCCGCCCAGAGCACTGGCGGGACTCGGAGGCCCCGGCCCCAGGGCGCCCGCCCGGAGCCTCTAGAGGCCAGGGGAGCGGTACGACCACGAACGGCTTCTACCTCGCCCGCCAGAGGGCGCCAGCCCGGCCTTCCCTCTGCCTGTCGACCGCGCTCCGCAGCGAGACCCATGGTTTCCAGCCAGGCCGCCCCTCCGCTGGGTTCCCCAGGGAAGCATTTTTAAGAGTCGTCCTGGAGCGGAGAAA